CATTGGTGCATGACGCTGCAGCCTGCCGTTCCCATGAGATTACATGCGGCAAAGCTTTAGAGTTGCTTTTTCAACAGCATCAAGAGCTGCCCTTCTTGGACAAACAACTGTTGAAATGGAACGTGCCGAGCCGCCCGCGTGCGGTGGATTGCTTGTCCTACGGCCGCAATATCAACAATCAATTTTTACCATAAAGCTCTCCTGGGTTCTACTCCCCATGTCGGTTTCCGATTCTTTTTGTATTGCCCCGAGGCACATTCTTCATTCTTTGCCTGTGCCGCACCAGTCGCCCAGCTTACACCTGGAAGGGCATAACATGGCATGGAGCTGTGCTCAAATCAGACACAAAAAAGAGAGAGAGCGAGACAGAGACAGAGTCAGACAAGAGGGAAGAGACAAGAGACAAGTGACAAGAGTGAAGAGGCAAGAGACAAGAGAGGTAGAGGAGGTAGAGGAGGTAGAGGAGGTAGAGGAGGTAGAGGAGGTAGAGGAGGTAGAGGAGGTAGAGGAGGTAGAGGAGGTAGAGGAGGTAGAGGAGGTAGAGAAAGAAAGAGAAAGAGAAAGAGAAAGAGAAAGAGAAAGAAATGGAAAGAAATAGAAAGGAAAGAGTCAGTCAGAGAGAAGGAGAGAATATGTATCATGTATAGATGTTTTCTTTCATGTGAGCGCTGGGTAAAAGTGTTTCTGCCACTTTCGCTTTTCTTCGCACAAAACATCTGCCACCAGAGTCGCCCAGCTTACGAGGGGGAATGAAGGGTACAACATGGTATGGACATCTGTTCAAGTCCACGCATAAGAGACAGCTTCGCACTGTGTGGACAAAGGCCATCTGACAGCAACAATGTTCATATTACATGTACATATACATATCATACATGTTACACACACTTGCATATAAGGATATGCTTGTATTTAATTTTATAAATACATCTTTACATGCATATTTACATTTCATTTACATACATACCTACCTACCTACATACATACATACATACACACACATACACACATACACAAAGACACACAAAGACACACAAAGACACACATACATACATGCATACATACATGCATGCATGCATGCATACATACATACATACATACAGACATACATACATACATACAGACAGACATACATACATACATACACACATACACACATACACACATACATGTACCTAGACATATACATATTCATCTCTATACATCTTTCTTTATTTATAGACGTGTAAATTTAAACACATACATGTATATGTAGAAACATAGACACACAGGTCCATCAAAATCATATTTGCATATCATGTGGACATGTTTATTCCAAATTTCAAAACGTCATGTATTTTGTTTTTGCATATGTATGTATATGTTTATTAGTTTATTATTTCCATTGTGCCTCCATCTCTCCCTCTCTCTCTCTCTCTCTCTTTCTTTTTTGTTGCCTTGCATGCCTTCGAAAATGTGAGGCAAGCAGTGACAGAGACGACACCTGGAGCTGATACCCTTGCTGTGCATGCGTGCCTTGGTCTCCGGCGAGAAGCCTTTTCCAGCTTTGTAGGGGTCCTTGGCTTTGCTTGGTTGAATCCCTGACTTGAAGTGACCAATGAGGCATCAGTTTTTTTTTAACGTAGAAGCGCGATAACGGATGAATATGATCTGCATTTTATGATCTGCATTTTATGGTTTCGCTTTTTCCATCAGGTGGCCACAGCGTGTTTCCATATATGTAAATTAAATAAATATATATATATACACATAGACAGAACCCTCCTGGCTGACATCAGTGAGACAGAAAAACACGTAAAAGGTAAGAAGCACCATATGCAAGACCGACGCTAGTGTAACTAACCACAAATGCCAAGCCTCTGGTCCTTTGAGGCGGCATGCCAGAGGGGCAGTGTGCTGTAGAGTCATGATCATATATTGCCGCATGAGGTGCCTATACGGTAGTATACAGGCCAAATCCTTTTACGAAAGAATCGCCAACGTTTTCTGGGGCATCGAGAATGTTTTCTTCTTCGCTTGCCGACTGTCTAGCGGACAGGCAGGTTTCGGAGCCAAACGTTGGCTTGCCTGTGGCAGACGCTAATGATGAATGTGCTGAGCCTGTTGACATGGATTTCATGCTTCTTGTCGGCATAATGCTTCTCCATGACAATGTTTGTTTTGGAGGTTTGAGTTGTAGATGAGTGCCTGACACATTTTCTTTTTGGTCAAACCTAGGAGATCTGATCCGCATAAAAATGTAAATTTGGAAGCGATGGATGTATGCAAGCAGTCCTACAACGCATGTCATTTGCGCGAGCAAGATTGGCTGGACCATCACCGTCATGCCAATCTGTTCCTATTGTTTGTGCAAACTTTCATGCACTCAAAATTCACCTGCTGCATGCTCAGGTCTGAACACATGGGCTCGCCAAATCCCTGTGCTTCATCGTGCCTGGATGGATTGTTTGATATGCCAGAGATGCTCCAGGATTTTTGTGCAAACCATCGTGCTTTGTGATTCAATTTTTTGATCCACCCGGAGACTGCAGCAGAGGAACTGCGGATGAGTGTTTGATTGATTGAAGGTACGCGTTTAAGCTGAAGCGCTCATTACTATTATCCCGAAGCTTGTGTTTGTTGAAGCACACTGCGAGACATAGAAGCCTGTGCAATGCGGCTCTAAAACCGTGCGGGTATAGATGGGGGATGGGGTGGGGTGGGGGGGTGTTGGAGGGGCAATCACGTTCTTGTTTCAACGCTCTTGATGCTACGCTATGAGGCTGTTCGAGTAACTTCCACCACGCTCTTGATGCTACACTATGAAGTTGCTCAAGTAACTTTCACCACGCTCTTGATGCTACGCAAGGACATTGTTCAAGTATTTTCCACCACGCTCCTGATGCTACCCTATGACGTTATAGAGAATTTAACTGAACCTGGAGTAGAATCGCAGACAAAATGTCCGAATGTATGCCCGGTAGAGTGTCAGTAAATATGCCAGATATAATGCCCATATGCATGCAAGAATGTATGTCAAGTAGAATGTCAGAATGTGTGTCAGAGAGAATGCCAGAATAAACGTCTGATATAATGCCAAAGCGGAATGTCAAAAGAGTCAAAATATATGTCAGATAGAATGCCAGATAAAATGTCAGAGCAGATGTCAGATGGAAGGCCAAATAGAATTTTAAATAGAATTTCTCAACAAGTGCGAGACAGTATGTTAGAACTTATGTCAGATAGAATGTCAGATACCCTGTCAGATAGAATGGCGGAATATATATCAGATAAAGTGCCAGATAGTCAGAATAGATGACAGTTGGAATAGCAGAATGAATCCCACCTTGTATGTCAGATAGAATGTCAGACAAAGTGCCTGAGTGGATGCCATATAGAATGCCAGAGAATATGTCACATAGGAATGCCAGAAAGAATGCCAGATAAAATGCCAAGGTATACACCAGAGTGAATGTCTCAGAAGAGGTCAGTTGGTATACCAGGATATACGCCCTGGTGGGAATCACTCGAAGTACATCTCCCAAGCGAGGTGCAAAAGGCGACGGCTTGGAGCAAAGACGCGTGTCTCTGACGCAAACTTTTCTTGGCATGTGCAATGGCTTGCAGATGGCAAAACCTATTGGAAGTTGCGACAACGGTGGGCGCTTGAGGGCAGAGTAGAGTCAGTTTCGCAACTTAGCTGTGAAGGCCTTGCTCACGAGTGGGTGGTCACGTGGTCAGAGAGACAGAGAGATGTTTTCCATTGCCTTATGTTGTAGTGGTTTTGCAATATTGGAGTTACTTTCTGTAATGAGTCTCTGATGACGAATGCTCATGCCAATGCGATGAAAAATGCATAGAGATAGAAACTATCAATAAGGAGATTGAACCAACAATGTCTTTGAATTGGAGTAGATGTGCCCAAAGTTTGTTTTGCGAGCTTGCGTTCTCGCAGTCTTGGATTTGATGTTGTTCTTGCGTTGCAGGGCAAGCGGCGCTCCTGTGCATTCATTTCTTTAGCCAAACGTCCTGGAGAGATGCCTGTGCGGTATTAGATCTACCCGATTTTGTAAAATTGTTAGCATGCACTTGCCCAGCGCAAGATGTGGATTGAGCGCAGGCAAAGACGTCCAAAAAAGAATCCGAAGCAAGTATGGTGACGAAGTGTGCGTGTGTAAGTGTGTATGTTGTGAGATCCTTAAGTCAACCATGATTCATGTTGTTTGCACGAGCGTTTCCGCATTTCCCGGCCAGACGTGTCAGAGTCAGCTGTAGCTTGTCAACACCCACGTGTTTGTGATCAGCCTTTAAAGTTAGTTCATTTGCATGCTATATTATTATAGAAGTGCCGGCCAGAGATGTGTGGTTTCTGATTTCCTTTATTGTGCGAAGGCATATGTGGGTGTCAGCTGGCATATTGTTGACCATGGTTCTAGGAAGCTTTTGTGGGGGAAGTTTTTGTTTCACGTGGCGCTTCTCGCTATCATTGATTTTGCAGATCCTCGAATGATGACCTGCTTGGACCGGTTCTGAACAGCCCTCTTGCCAGCCGTGTTACCATCTGATGTCTGTAGGCTCACAAGACGCCCAGAGAGTCTCATGAGACGCAGTTTGTTTTGATTGCCGCATGTGTTCAATAGGCCAGCCAGATCTGTTTTGAAGCATGCCGCGTCCATCTCCATGTTTGAAATTAAGAAACATTGCCTAGGTACACCATGTGTGGCATTCATTGTGAGCATAGATTGACAACGGCCTGTCGAGCTTTAAAAGTTTCAAGCGTTAGAAGCGGCCATTTGCAGACGTCACACGGGAATCCAAGTCGTGCTCACATTAACCGGACAGGCTCTTGAGGTCTTTCTACTTTACACTTGTTTCGCTGTTGGACCGAAGGTCTCGGGATTTTATCTTACCGGCAAGCACACGCGCACACTGGCACAGACGCCGTCACAGACTTGAAAGAACGTATGTCGTCGATGGTTTCTTGGATAACTCAATTGAGCTGTGTGACAATTCCCAATGGATGGTTTTTGGCTTGGCCACCTTACCATGAGACAACACATGATGTTGAAAACAAAGTGAAGAATTGAATCAACAGCTACATCACAAATGTGGTGTGTTTTGTACATTTTGACTTGCAAATGTGCTTCGCGCCACAAGCGCCTGCAATTTTTCATCTCTCATCTGGCCAGCTGGCTCCGCACCCGCCGCTTTAGCGAGCCTACTTTTCGACCCTCCGGAGCCCCAAACCATTGGAAAAACATAGTGTTTCGCGACTTTCTTACCTTTTCACCCATCTGCATCTTCTTTCTTCTTACTCTTTAGTTTCTCTTCTACTCTTCTTTCTAATCTTTCTCTTCTCTGCCTCTTCCCTGCTCTGCTTTTCATCTGTCCATATTGTCGGAAGTTTGACTTCTAAACTTCCTTCGATGAAGCATATGGTAAAGCCGGTCTCGAAATTTGTGCGGGTTTGCCAAATCTCCGCCGGATCTAAATCTTTTATCCCAGCTAAACTGCCAGAAAGAATGGCCAACGAAAGGTTGGGCGCCTTTATTGCCTGGTGTTGGGCACCTTTCATGCTTTGAGATTGGCACCTCTCATCCCTCCAGTTGGGTGGGCACCTCTCATGCCTCGAGTTGGGCACCTCTCATGCTTCGCGTCGGGCCTCTCATGCTTTGAGTTCGGCACCTTTTTTGCCCCGAGTTGTGCACCTTTGATGCCTCGAGTTGGGCGCTTTTGATGCAGGTGGACACCTTTGATGCATTCAGTTTGGCACCTCCGAACTCGAGTTCGGCGCTTTGGATGCCTCGAGTTGGGCACCCCTCATGCTTTCATGAAGGGCACCTTTGACGCCTTGAGTTGTGTGCCTGTGATGCCTCAAGTTGGGCACCTTTAATGCCTCCAGTTAGACATATTTGATTCTTCGAGTTAGGCACTTCGCATGTCTCGAGTTGGGCACCTCTCATGCCTCCAGTTGGGCACCTTTCATGCTTCGAGTTGGGCACCTCATGCCTAAAGTTGGGCACCCTTCATGCTTCAAGTTGGGCATGAGAGGTGCCCGACTCGAAGCATCAAAGGTGCCCGACTCGAGGCATGAGAGGTGCCCAACTCATACCCAACTAGAGGCATGAGAGGTGCCCAACTCGAGCATCAAAGGTGCCCAACTCGAAGCATCAAAGGTGCCCAACTCGAGGCATGAGAGGTGCCCAACTCGAGGCGTCACAGGCGCCGAACTCGAGGCATGAAGAGTGCCCACCTCGAGGCATGGGAGGCGAGTTAGGCACCTCTCATGCCTCAAGTTGGGCACCTTTGGTGCTTCGAGTTGGGCGCCTCTCATGCCTCGAGTTGGGCACCTCTCATGCCTCGAGTTGGGCACCTCTCATGCCTCAAGTTGGGCACCTTTGGTGCTTCGAGTTGGGCGCCTCTCATGCTTCGAGTTGGGCGCCTTTGATGCCTCGATTTGGGCTCCTCTAAGCCTCGAGTTGGATGCCTTTCATGTTTTAAAATGTCCAGTGGATTGTCAGAATTTATGCCAAAAGATTTCAGTGTGCAATGCCAGATAGAACGTCAGAACAAATATCAGACAAGAAAACATGCCAGATAGAATGCCGAACGAAAAATTTTGGATAGAATGTCATTAAGAATGCCACACACATATTATATATATAATTGTTCAAGTGTATAATATACATATATATATATTTATTTATTTAAATTTGCCAGAGACAAATGCAATAGAATGCGAGAAAGAATGCCAGATGCATAGAATGCAGCTAAAATGTCGCAACTAAGGCAGGTAGAATGATTCACAAAATGTCGTATAGAAAGACAGGAAGAAGGTGGAAATATATGGTCAAGAAAACCTCCGGAAATGATACCGTACATATGTATTAGTGCAAGTACCAAATAGACTTTTAAACAGCATTGCAGATAGATTATCAGAAAAAAATGTGAGAGAGTTTATGTTAGGTAAGATGACCATTAGAATGCCAAAATACATGTTGGAAAAACGGTCATAGTATATGTCAGAATTCCTGCCTTGGTGGGGATCATTCGAAGTACGTAAGTACGTAGAACGGTAGGTAATATATAATCACGGAACTTTGATTTCTGATATGAACAAGGAGTTAGTAGCAGCTGAGAAACAAACTACCTATGTTTGCGCTTCTGCAGCCGCCGGCAATGGCCAATGTCAAGGATCCAGCGCTCGCCCGCGCTGGAAGAAAGTGTCAAAGTCGTCGAGGTTAAGTCGCAGGCCCTCCACCGCTGTTTCACTGTCCGCCGCTGTTCTGACGCCGGTTTGGCGTGGGAGCTGGGCCCTTTGCATTATGAGTTTTGTCGTACTGGTTTGAGCCGATGGCTGCTCAACGAAAGGCATTGCGGGTTGAAGGCTTTGCGATCCTTTGCCAGCAACGTATATGGCATTCCGCTGCATATTTGGTTGTCAAGGAAATCGCAAAAAGAAACGCAGAGACAGCGCAACGGCAAAAAGCAGCAGAGAAAGCCAACCACAGCAAACAATGA